AACATGTTTCTTAGGAAAAAAGAATCACAATCCACCAGTAGCATCCATGTACTTTCCAGCAATGCGAGTGGCGAGGAGGCTGTGGAATCACCACTACTGGGCACAGAACGCTGCGCAGTGGAAGGAAGGCTTGTGCTTGTAAGCACTGTCAGCGTGCTAGAGCAGAATGACAAACGTAACCAAGGGGAGATGGTTTGCAGCCGATTTTGGAGGCAGAGTTAGGTTTATAAGCCAAGACTTATCTTGGGGTAAACACGGCAGCTGCAAAAGCCACCAGCGGGTGTTCTCAGGGCAAACAGGAAATTGGTTTAACACACCTTAGGTCAGCTGAGCACGGTGGTGCACTCCCATCATCCCAGCACTCCGGGGGATGGCTGAGGCAGGTAGAACTGAAGTTCAAGACTAGCCTGGCTACACACAGAATTCTTGCCTGGAACAAAGCGAAATAGTTAACAGCAGGGCCCCATTTCCCCGTTCGTGTCCTGAAGGCCGGGGCTCCACTGTGAAGTATAAGACGGAGTGTACGGGGCAGGCTCTGCCAGCGCTAGCTAGCGTCCTGAGCTCGGCTCGGTGTGCTGGTCACTCTTGCCTACCTGGCCAGGTCTCCACTGGGACAGGCTGCTACAGTGCTCAGAGGGCTATAAATCCCTCGGGTGCCCCCAGGCTCTGCTGCCCATTCACGCGATGCACACGGGAGGTAACCTCGGGAATTTTTTTGTTGGAGCCAAGTTCTGTACTCTGGAAGAGCAAAGGAGGCAAGCTGCAGTTAGGCTTGGATTTTCTCCTGGTTTCCAACAGCTATTTGATGGGAAACAGGAAGAGAAAAGGAGAACAATAGCGAAGTGTGCATGCCTGTAACCCCAGCACTTGGACTCCTGGATGCAAAGGCTCGCTTCTGCTCACCGGCGGGCTGCTCCTACCTCCTCCCTCCTGTCCCGCTCACTGCGCCCTTGCACCGCCCACTCGCCCAGTTGGTGAGCCCAGCGCTGCCCTGGGATGCGAGGGTGCTGATCTGTTCCCTGGGCCCTCCCAGTTACAAATTGTTGTCCTGGGCCTTGCATCTCCTTCTGATATACAACTGTCATCATTCGTGAATCATGTCTTAAAAGTACAGGGACCTCCTGATGATTTTTGTGGAAAGTGTGATTTTTTTTTTTTCCAGGTCTTTTTGAGACAGGGTTTCACTATGCAGCTCAGGCTGGCCCTGGACTCACTATGTAACACAGACTGGCCTCAAACTCGCATCCATCTTCCTGCCTCAGCCTTCCAAGTGCTGGGATTACAGACGCGTGCCACCATGCC